GCTTTGTTCTGTTATAGGAGGTTAAGGATAGGAGCCCAATCCCTCCTGGCTTGTAAGGTTTCAGATGAGAAGTCTGCTGTTAGTCTGATAGGTTTTCCTTTATAGGATAATTGTTGTTTTTGCCTAGCTGAATGGAGTATTGCTTCTTTCAGATTTAGTTTGGTCAACCTAATGACCATGTGACGAGGTGATTGCCTTTTCATGTTGAGTCTCCCAGGAGTGTTGTGAGCTTTTTGTATTTGGATATCAAGATTTCTGGCCAGGCCCGGCATATTTTCCTTGAGTATTCCGTGAAATAAATTTTCCATCCCTTGAGATTGTTCCTCTCCCCCGCCCCCCATCTGGAATCCCAATCACCCTGAGATTCGGCTTTTTTATGTAATCCCACACTTCTTATAAACTTTGGTCTTATCTCTTATTTCTGTGATTCCTTTCTTCCTCTGATTTGTTTAGGGCATAGGCATAATCTTTGAGGTCTGAGATTCTTTCCTCTGCATGGTCCATCCTGCTCTTAATGCTTTCTACTATATTATGGAGATCCTTGATTGTTTCCTTCATTACCAAAATTTTTGATTGGTTCTTCTGTATAATTTCAATTTCTTTGCAGAATTTTTCATTCATTTCCTGGATTGTTCTTGTGTTTTCTCTATGTTGTGATTCTATTTTCTCTTCAATTCTGTTCAGTTTTCTGACAATCCACATTTGAAATTCTTCCTCCGTCAGTTTAATCCATCAGTAGCATGTAAGTTGGTGTCAGTTGATGGAGGTCAAGTATGATAGGCTCTGAGATTACTCTGTCTTTTTTTTTTTTTCCTGAGGCCTCTGAGAGTCCCAAACCAAACAGAGACCTGCCATGTGGGTTATCTCCTGCCGGGATGAAGTCAGTTCCTTCCACATGGAATCCCGGTGGGTTGGTCGCTGCTCAGGGTATTCTTCAGCCCCATCAAATCTCAGCCCAGTCAACAGATTCCCTCACCCCTCTGTATTTCCTGGAATGGAGCTTCCCCTTTGGCTGTAGGCACCAGCTAATAGGCCACAGTAAAGAAGTAGAGAGGGGACTCAGTTTGATAGTCTGTCCTGATTGGCTGTTAGAACCGCCTTTCTGTGGCCAGCACCAGTGGGAAGGTGGAAATGAAGCAGAGGTGACAGTCTTGCAACCCGGATATCGGGTTGAATAGCCTCTTTTTCAACACTGTCCAGAGGCGGAGTAAGACCCTATAGTGTGAAGCAACCGGACCCAAGTCGTAGGAGAGTGTGGATGTTGGTGTCACCCCAGGTTATATCTGGAAAAGTAGTCTCCTTCGCTACTTCACCTTGCCAAGACCGGCTCTGCTCTCTGAACACAGAGCGCAGGCGGCTAATGTGGTGAGAGACTGGCCAAGATCAATCTGGCGATGCAGCCACGCAAACCGCCACTCTCCGCTTTCTACCCCTTTAAACACTGAGTTCATCATAAACTGCAGGAATGGGAACAGCCTCTTTCTCAGCTCCGCCCCAAGGCAGAGTTAGAACCTTTGGCACAAGGCGCCCAGTCCCAAGTCGCAGGAGGGTGTGGGTGATAATGTCTCTTCTAGTTATGTCTGGAAAAGCCGCCTCCTTCGCAGCTCCACTCTGTCCAGGTGGGCTCTGCTCTCTGCACACAGAGCGCGGGGTGGCTTGTGCAGCGAGAGACCGTCTAAGATCAGACAGGTGGGGCAGCCACAACAGCCACTCTCTACCTACTGTCTCTTGAAATATGGGATTGGAGATAAGAGGCAGGAATGGGAAGAATCTCTTTCTCAGCTCTGTCCCAAGGCAGAGTTGGAGCCTTTAGTGAAGCACCCACCCCAAGTCACAGGGGTGTGGGTGAAAATGTCTTTCCAGGCTCTATCTGGAAAAGCAGGCTCCTTCACAGCTCAGCCTTGCCCAGGCAGGCTGTGCTCTCTGGGTGCAGAGCACAGGTGGCCTGTGTAGCAAGAGACCGGACTGTCCAATATCGGACTGCAGGGCAGCAGTGCCCGTCACCACTCCCTCCCCACCCAGTTCCAAACACCAAGCCCAAGTCAAACCGCAGGGATGGGGGGACGGGAGCAGTGTTGGAGGCTCAGGGGGACTTCCTCTAACTCAGGAAGTCCCAAGGGATCAAGGAACCTAGCTTTGCGCTGTCTGACTGCTCAGCTCCAGCAAAAACCTCGACTATCTCCAAGGTCAAAGCCTCCTTTCCTGTATACTCCCCTCACCCTGGACCTGGAAGCGACCTACAGCAAGATGTCGCAGTGGGCTCTCCTTCCTGCCAGCGGGGGAGCCACTGCTGGGTCGGACCCTCCCCCACCTGAGACTGCCTCAGCTGGGGCTAAGGAGATTTCAAAATGTTTCCTGCTCTAGTCTCCTCTCCACACTGCTTTGTCCCACGCTACCACTTCCCACCAACTTCTGGCACTTCCAGTCCTATGTGGGTGTGGAGCTCGGAGTAGGAGGGGGCTTCTCTCGGCGCCCCCCTCCCTCCCTGTTGTATATTTCCGATTCCCCCGGTTTTGCGGAAGAATATCCATTCACCTTTGATTTCAGCTGTACATTGTCTTATCCCTCCGTTTCCCAGTGAATGTCTGCAGGCTTGCTGGTCCTGTGGAAGTGCCGATAGCTGGCGTGTGGTTGTGCACTTTCTTCATTTTCCGCTCTGGGAGCGAGGAGCCAGGAGGCCACCCCTACTCCGCAGTTTTTCTCTACCCCCCCCCCCCAGTTTCTTTCTCCAGCCGTGCCACCTTAAGAAGTTTGAGTCTGTGTGGCATCTGCATGCTATTTACAATGCCATTTTTATTTCATTATATTACTTAGATTTATACTGGGTTTATGGGCCCAGTTTGGTTTCTGTGGCTACTGTGCTAGAGCAGCCGTGTTGGAAGCACCTGTACTCAGCAGCTGCCATGGACGTCGTCATTTCCATGATGGGCGTCGTCATTTCCTCGATCCCCAATGCCAACTTACAGGCAGTGTGAGTCTGCAGGACAGGAAGGACAGTACTAAGAATAAGGGACTCCCAACATTTTAATTCTAGCTTGCTTTTCCTACTAATCTTGCAGGAGCGTCATCATGATCTGCCACATAGGGTTAGAGGAGGGAGACCCCCAACGAAGGCGAAGGTGTTCCGCCGTTGAGAGACCACAGTGATGCTCATAGGTTGAGTGTGGGTCTAGCTTAATCCTGGCCCTGCCACTGGATCGTTGCATGACTCAACACGTCACTTAAACTCTGTATCTTGTTTCTTCACTTACAAACCGGAAACGACAGTGCCTGTATCGTGGGGTTGATGTGAACACGGCACATGTGTGCATGTGTGTGTAAGTACAGCACAGGCATAGAGCAGGCATCGTTTAGTGTTACTTGCAGTTGTCCTTCATGTCTTGCAGACAGGGATCCCGTCTGCGTGTGGAATTCGAGGAGGAACACGGTTGAAGGCTCACACTGTTAAGGGACCCGTTTCTCCCCCTTCACCAGCTCCCCCGCCCCTTCTGAGGCTCCATGGCCACCTCCTGGCTGAGAGCATGAGCGTGGTGGTAACTTACCTGCTGGGAACTCTTTTATGGTTTTCTCTCTCTTTTTTTCCATGGCTTCCATCTCTATGGCAACTAAATGTTTCAACCAAGGAGTTGATGACACATGAACTACCACCCATTGCTCCCTTGACCCCCATTTCTCTAAGAACCCTAAAGCCTTTCTTAGCTATCCTGGGGGAAGACAACAGAGGTTTTGCTTCTGCAAGGTGGGAGCCGTTGTTACCAGCTCGTATTTGGCAGGACCCACACTTTAGCTGTACGCCTGTTGTCCTTCACTTCAGTCTCTAAACATATTACATATTTTTATTCCATTGAAAGGAGTGAATTTTCCTGCCGTATTCTGGGGTTCCAGGGATGCTCCCCACCTTACCTCATCACTGCCCAAACAAATAGCCTTAAAAGAATTGGTATTGTAGCTCTTGAGTCTTGGATGTAAGCACTTTTTTTCCTCTTTTATTGTTAGTTGACACTTCATAATTGTATATACTATGGGATACAGAGTGATATTTTGATACATTTATACAATGTGTAATGATCAAATCAGGATAATGAACATATTCATCACCTTGCACATTTATTATTTCTTTGTGTCGTGAACATTCAAAGTGCTCTCTTAATAGCATTTTCTCTTTCTCTCTTTTTAATATTAATAGCTTTATTAAGAATTCACAGTACCATACAGTTCACCAATTTAGAGCATGCAATTCAGTTTTAGTATATTCTCAGAACTGTGCAACCATCACCATGAACCATTTTAAAACATTTTTAACATCCCCAAAAGAAACCTGGCACCCCTTAGCCATTACCGCACCCCCACCATTCTCTCTAGCCCTTTGAGACCCCCCAATCTACTCTTTATCTCTTAAAATGGGCCTATTCTGGACATTTCATCTAAATGGAATTATACAGTGGTCCTTTGTGACTGGCTTCTTTCGCTTAGCATAGTGCTTTAAGGCTCATACATGTTGTAGTGGATCAACGCTTTGTTCCTTTTACTGCTGAGTAATACTCCATCGAATGAATATGCCAGATTTGGCCTATTCTTCGTTAGTTGGTAGACATTTGGGTTGTTTCTACGTTTTGGCTTTTACAGATAATGCTGCTTTGAACATTCACATACAAGTTTTTGTGTGGACATATGTTTTCATTTCTCTTGGGTATGTGTCTAGAGGGGGAATTGTTGACTATGTTATTTTAAATTTACTTTTAATTTTTTATTGATATGTAATATTTGTACATATTTATGGGGCACATGTGATATTTTTAGCTTCATTTTTATTTTTAGAGATGGGGGTCTCACTCTGTCACCCAGGCTGGAGTACAGTGGCACAATCATAGCTCACTGCAGCCTCCAATGCCTAAGCTCAGGTGATCCTCCTGCCTCAGCCTCCCCAGTAGCTAGAACTACAGGTGGGCACCACTATGCTCATTCTTTTAGCTTCTTTTTGCCGTGTGTTTCTGTTCCAGGCATGGAGAATGGTGGAAAGCTAAGTCCCTTTCAACAAGGAGAGAAGGCTTCATCCCCAGCAACTACGTGGCCAAAGCCAACACCTTAGAGACAGAAGAGTGAGCCCTTACGTGTTGTCGTCTTTGATGTTTTGTCTGCTTCGCTGGATTTCTTGTTGATGTTCTTCGTGTTTCTCTTGCTCTGGAACATGACAGTCATGGAATGTTGCAATGTCCTCACAGGTGGTTTTTCAAGGACATAACCAGGAAGGACGCAGAAAGGCAGCTTCTGGCACCAGGGAACAGCGCGGGGGCTTTTCTCATCAGAGAAAGCGAAACATTAAAAGGTAGAAAGTGGCTTAAGGCCTTTATAAAACACTGTTTGGAAAATCATTTTTAGAAACAGTTATAGAATTACTCATAAAAAAAGAGAAGGATATAGTATACTCTGGCAGTAAAAGTTTTATAGTTTGATAACAAATAAACTCAAATGATAAGTTTTGCTTCTAAAAGTAATATAGAAAGCAGGCGTAAATGTGGCCAGTTCTTACCGTTCTTTACATTTGCTGAGCTTCTTGTGTAACTATCTAGAATAAATCCTGAAATTTAAAGAGAAAGAAAATTAAAGTAACTTTTTAATTCAGCAAAATAATAATTTAAAAAACTATCATAAAGAAAGAAAATGGCACGTTGGTAAGGTACTCAGCAAACAAAATGTTTCATTTGTTTCATTTGTCAGGTAGGATTTTTATAGGACTTTAAAAATTATGCATTATATACATAACCTATATTTTGCATATTTTTATGATGAAATGTGTACTGCATTGTTGTCTAATGCAGATATTATTTGTCAAATATAAACATATACCTTACTTATACTCTTTCCCCAACAGGAAGCTTCTCTTTGTCCGTCAGAGATTATGACCCGGTGCATGGTGATGTTATTAAGCACTACAAAATTCGAAGTCTGGACAATGGGGGTTATTACATCTCTCCACGAATCACTTTTCCCTGTATCAGTGACATGATTAAGCATTACCAAAGTAAGTAACAACTGAAGGTTGTACTAGACAGAATAGGTTTGTTATGGTACATGTAAGGTGTCAAGTATTATTTTTATATTAAAACCTTTTATGCATCATATTTCTTTTGGATAAAGTTGGCAGATCACATTCTATAACTGATTCTAAATTAATCTGTGGTTAAACGTGCAAAAGAAGATTTGGTCTTTGTGAATAATTATCGCAGTCCTTCACACCTGGTCTGTGCTATTTGACATTCAATATTGTAAAATTACCAACAGAAAAATAAATATTATTTTTGCATGTGCCTACTTTTACAAGACATCCAAATATCTGGAAGAGGAATGCAGATTCACAGATCTGTGTGTTTGTGTGTCTATGTGTTAAAGGAACATGTACTCTTGGTGAAAGAAAATAGAAATAACAGCCCCTAGCACCACCAAAATATTTTAAAGTGGCAAGTCAGTGTTCCTCCATCTCTAGTGCCACGGTCAAGCCCTTTGGAGCCTGGACCTGTGGGTGCCTTCCCTGTGTGACTGAAGTCAGGTGCAGTAGTTGTTGCTTCTGCTCTTTTCCAGAACCTGCTGGAAGGGAAAGCCCATTGTGGGTTTGCTTAGGTCCCAAAGTATGGAGAGAACAAGGTGCCTCCGATTTTTATGGCCTCCACCCTGTCTCTGCCCTCCCCATTCATCTGTGCATCTGGCGCATGGGTTGAGCCCTGCCGTGCTCTGGCCTGTTCTGGGGCTGGGAGTTCGATGGTAACACGACCAAGTCCCCACCAGGGTGCCCTGTGGAGCTTATGTGGGCTCAGTAATTTGAAATCATGTTTTATTAAGTATGACGACCTGTCAGCCTTTAGGTATCTATTATTTGTTGGCTTTGTTTGTTTTGCTTTTATATGTCAGCAACGCTAATGAGTAAAATCAAGTACGTTTCAAATTGTCTTGTCTTATAAGAATTTCAAAAGTCACAATTAATGTGAAGGATACTCCCCATAAACATTTTAGATTTATAGACTGTGGCAGGTTGGATATTATAAGACTAACAATCCAAACTTTTCTTTATATAGTGGTAAAATACAGTGTTGCATTTCTTAACCTTTCTTTTCCCCTCCAAATCAGAGCAGTCAGATGGCTTGTGCAGGAGACTGGAGAAAGTATGTATTAGTCCCAAGCCGCAAAAGCCGTGGGATAAAGATGCCTGGGAGATCCCCCGGGAGTCCATCAAGTTGGTGAAAAGGCTTGGCGCTGGACAGTTTGGGGAAGTCTGGATGGGTAAGTGTGTGGCCCCGGGGCCAGTGTCCTCTCCAGAAAGACACCTAGAGAAGGGAGGGCTCAAGCCCATTTCTACCAGCTTCTGAGCCAGATGCTGAATTGCGTCAAAAGCGTCATTTCTGTTGTCTTCCCCTGTCCACCTGGGGCTGGAACTGGCCTGCCAAATCTGTTTGCTTCGGCTCTTGCTCTCCCTTGTGACTTAGTAATTCTCTAAATGTTGGTGAGGAAGGGAGCAATGGGGACTTACCTTGATCCTTCTGTGTACTCCTTCACGCCTCTCGTTGGTGGATTCTCCGGATAACATGTTAAGTGCGAGAAGCATGCTTCTGTCTCAGGACAGGTGCTCTTGGGGATGCGACACACTGGCTCCATAGAAAGCATCACATTTATTACAGTTTGAGGGTCACCAAGAAAGTTTCTAAAGATGCTCAAAGTCCCATCATCAGCGACTCAGTTCTTAAAATTAAGTAACGCCTTTGCAGGCTGACGAGAGGCATGCCCGAGTTACGGCAGTCCTTCCCCCCGGGCATCCTCCGCCCACCTGTCTTTTAAAAAGTCTTTTTTTCTTTCTTTTTTATATAATTTATTTCTTTTTCGTTTTCTCTTTGCATACCAGAAACCATGTGGATTTTTAAAAAGTTTTTATAGTAAATGTGAATTTCTTTTGTGCTAAGAATTAAAGACAAAAAACAATTAAAAAAAAAAACCAGCATAACATTCTCTTTTAGGTTCTCATTGAAAATGCAGCTGCTTCTGGAAGGGTGGCGTGCCAGGTCATTCGTATCTAGCTGGGTCACTTTCTCTGTGCCAGCTCTGTTGGCTGAATGCGAATGTGATTTCTGAACAGGGGGCGGACGGCCTTTACCAAGTCCCAGCCCGGCCGAGCAGAAGACGGACGCCTCTCTGCAGCATGCAGGCGCAACACCTCCTCATCCGGGGATCCGAGGGAGAGGTTTTCCTTCCCAAACCTCGGTGCCTGGGATCATGGCCTTGCCCACTCTGTCCTGTTGGCACCTCTCTGGTGACTTTTAAATACGGCTAGCACTGCCCGAACCTGTAATTAATTCTTCCTGTACTGTGAGTCCCTGTGAACGTATTTGCAGACTTCAGTTAGCCGTGTTACGCAGCCTCACGGTCTCCGCCCCGGTTGGCACATTTCGGGGCCAGTTGGCAGCGCACACCAGGCAGTCTGTTTTTATCCCGGTTGGCAGATTCATGGGTGTGAGTGCTCACTTCGGATGTTGTCTTTTCCTGTGCACTCTGTTGTCTAAGTCACAACATCGTCCTCCTCATTTCTCTGTCTGCTCTTTTTTTAAATTAATATGAAATTCACATGACAGAAAATTAATCATTTTAAAGGGAAAAATTCAATAGCATTTAATACATTCACAATGTTGTGCAACCACTACCTCTGTCTAGTTCCAAAATGTTTTAATCACCCTAAAAGGAAACAATGCACCCATTAAACAGTAACTCCCCCTGCCCCAACCCTCAGCCCCTGGCAACCTCCATTCTACTTTTTGCCTCTATGAATTTGGCTAATCTAGGTACCTCATGTAAGTGGAATCATACAATATTTATCCTTCTATATCTGGCTTACTTCACGTAGCATGATGTTTCCAAGGTTCATTCATATTGAAGAATATATCAGAATTTCATTCTTTTAGTTGGCTGTGTAATATTCCATCATTTGAATATAACACAGTTTGTTTATCTACTAATTTATTGATGGATGTTTTGGTTGTTTCTACCTCTTGGCTGTTATGAATAATGCTGTTATGAGTATTTATGTACAAATTATTGTGTGGACACGTATTTTCATTTATCTTGGGTATATACCTAGGAGTGTAATTGCTAGGGCATATATAGTAAGTCTATGTTGAACTTTTTTGAGGAACTGCAAACCTGTTACATGCTTGTTTTTTATTTTTTATTTATTTATTTTATTTTTATTTCAGCATATTATGGGGGTACAAATCTTAAGGTTAGGTATATTGCCCTTGCCCCCCTTCTCCCTCCCACCCACCTGACACCCAATAAATGTTATTCCTATATGTCCGCTTAAGTGTTGATCCGTTAATACCAATTTGCTGGTGAGTACATGTGGTGCTTGTTTTTCCATTCTTGAGATACTTCACTTAGTAGAATGAGAAGAGGTGCTATATCACCATTGTTTCTTAAAGCTGAATAGTACTCCATGGTATATATATACCACATTTTATTAATCCACTCATGTATTGATGGGCACCTGGGTTGTTTCCACACCTTTGCGACTGTGAACTGTGCTGCTATAAACATTCGAGTGCAAGTGTTCCTTTTGTAGAGTGTCATTTGATCTTTTGGGTAGATGCCCAGTAGTGGAATTCCTGGATCAAATGGTAGATCTACTTGTATTGCTTTAAGGTATCTCCATGTTGCTTTCCACAGAGGCTGAACCAGTTTGCAGTCCCACCAGCAGTGTAGGAGTGTTCCTCTCTCTCTACGTCCATGCCAACATTTATTATTTGGGGACTTTTTGATAAAGGCCATTCTTCCTGGAGATAAGTGATATCTCATTGTGGATTTGATTTTCATTTCCCTGATTATTAGGCCGTCTCTGGGCTGGTGTCCGCAGGTCTCTCTTCCCACTGGGGAGCCCACCAGCAGTCCAAGATGCAAGGGAGGGGGAAGTTAACTGTTCCACCTATCTTTGCCACTGGTCTCCAAGCTTCTTGGGAGGTCTCTTCTTCCAGTTCTCCTCCACAGCCTCCTCCTGTGGACTCTCCCGTGGTCTCAGGTACCCCTCCTTCTGACTCTCCTCTGATGTATGCTCTTCTGCTTGCTTCTTTCTTCTAATTTCTCCTAGAATCCGTCTTTTCTGCAGAGACACTGTCTGGCCATGTTTCTCGTCTGCCATCTTGCTCTGCCCCTCCATGCTTGCTTTTTAAAAATGACTTGTCTTCTTTTTTTCCTCTCAAGATATTTATATTCTCAATTTTTTTTTTCAAATCCACACAATAGTTGCAAGAATGGCATAATGAACATTGTATACCCTTTAATGAGATGCAGCAGTTGTTAATATTTTGCTTTGCGTATATATACACACACATACATGTTGTTGTTAAACCACTCGAGAATAAGTTGCAGATGTGATGACTGTTCACCCTCAATACTCAAGCATGTGCCTTCTCCAAGCAGGGCTGTTATCTTACTAAGTACAATGGTGACATGCAGGAAATTTAACATTGATACATAATGTTATCTAATACAGAGTCAATATTTGCATTTCCTCAGTTGTTCCAATAATGTCCTTATGGCTATTTTCCCCCAACCTGGCATCACAAATTTGACCTTAGTTGACCTGACTTTAGTCTCCTTTAATCTGGAACAGTTCCTTGGCTTCATCTTTCATGCCACTGACATTTTGTAGAACACAGGTCGGTTGTTTTGTAGAGTGTGCCGCAGTTTTGGTTTTTCTGATGTTCGTCAGGACTTGACCAGGCTGTGCCCTGTTTACTAACTGTGTCTGGCTGCCTGGGCTGTGCTGTCTTTCAGCCCACCTGTCGGGAGGCATCGTGGTGACTGGTCCCGTTCTCTGATGTTCTGTTTTGTTTTGTTTAAGGTGGCCCACTGGTTTCTCTATGATGACTTTTTATTCCCTTTTGTAATGAATAAATCGTCTGTGGGAACATCTTTGCGACTGTGTAAAAAGAACTTTCCCCAGGTGGTGTCGTCATGATCTGCTCATTTCGGGTCCTCTTCCCCCTGAAGCTGCAGTCCTCCCTGTGCTCCTCCCACGCTCCCTGCACAGGTCTGCTCTGATCCCCCGCCTCACGCCAGGGACAGGGACTTCTGCCTTCTCTCCCGGGCTTCCCCTTTCAAGGCTCCTCTTCGCAGAGAGTACTGGCAGGAAAAAGATTACCACTGTCACATGCAGTCCTGCCCTTAATCCAACTGTGCGCTCTTTCCTCTTACTGTGACTCAAGTGGGGAGGAGGAGGAAGAGGAAGAAGACGACTGGAGGGGGAGAGAAAAGAGTGTGCGGGCTGTATGATCTGCGGGCTCTGCTCGGGGTGCCTGTTCACGGATATTCTCAGGTACTCATTGCAGGAGCACTGTCGGGCAGGCATTACTGTCTTCATTTGATAAATGGCAACGCTGAGGATCAGATAAACGACTCGCCCAAGGTTGCTCAAGACAGTGAGAGAGCCAGGTCGCCCTGCCATCTAACAGCCCTGGACGCTGTTGCTTGCTAATCTATTTACAAGTTAATTTGACTTCCTTCGCCTCAGTTTCCACGCCAGTGAAATGAGCAAACAGCTATCTCGTCAGTTGTTGAAAGGAAGAATGAGATCATGTACCCGAAGTGTTTCCCACACACTCTGGCTCCATGTGGTCTGTGTTTTATTATTATTTCCACTTTTCTGGGTTTGACTCTAATCACTGAAAGCTATATTTTGATGAATTTTCCCAATTTTAATCATGAAACAAAGCCATAAATAATCTTTCCTGTGGACATTTGCTGGCGCAGGAGTTGCTGTCTGTCATGAAGAGGAACATAGAGAGGGCCTAAACCAGACTGTAGTTGTTCACCCTGAAACAGTGGCGCTGTGTGTAAAGTGATAGTTTGGAATTTTGTTTCACCCTCCCTGCATTCAGCTGGGAAGCCAGGAGAAAGGTGTAGAACTGCGTGCCGTTTATACCTGAGGGATGCGTAGCAGCGAACCAAGTATGTTCAAATCTCACCGCTTGGGCGAACTGTGCGCATGTGATCACATCTTAGCAATGCTGTTTGGGAGACTCGGTTGCTGCAGGCTGGGTGCATGGCATCGGCAGCGCTGCCGTCAGCTGTGCCTTCGGTGCACCTTCCAGGGAGTGGCTGGCCAGGGTGGGGGCAGGAACGAGGAGCAAGGCAGCAGTGGGGCACACCTGAGTGGACCTGCCTGCGGCTCCCGGTCTGTCCCGAGGCACGAGCCTGGGCTAAAATTGTGTACCTGGAACTCAAGCACATTGGTCCTTTCT